CGCTCCCACGGGTTCGGTCCTTCCGCCTCGACTGCCACCTGCCCACTCGGGTTGCCCCATTCACTCGCCCGGATCCAGGGCGCAGGCGCAAGCCTCGGCTCTCCAACCCCCCCGCCCCTCGCTGTCCACTGAGGGGCGTTCCTAGTTCCTCGGCGACGTCTGCGTCACTTCCGGCATTGTTGCTGCGCAACAACGTGGTTTGAGAAACATTCCCCAGACTAGAGTCCGCCGCGCTTGGCGCCAGAGTCAACTTTCCAGGTCTGGAAGAGCGATGGGCGCCTCGTCAGAGATGCCGGTGCGATTTGGGCGGCGCTATGGACAGGCGAAGGGGAGCACAGGTGAGCTAAACCGGCCCATTCAGGGAATGTTTCTGTCCCCCAGGCATGGGGCGAGAGGCAAGGATGCCGAGTGAGGGCTTCGGTTGCCTTTTGAGATGGGCTCCATCAGGTCGGAAGCATCCTCAATAAGCATCTCTGGGCTCTGTGGAAGTTAGACCGTTTTGCCCTCAGGTGAATGAGTGGAAGAGGGAAAGGGGAATTGAGGTGGGTGGGTGAAAGTATCCAGAAATAGAGGTGAAGAAAAGATGGTAAATCAGAGATCCCCCAACCACCTGGCTCGTCATATCCTAAGTAGTGCAGTTGCAGCTCCGAGTCTGGCGTTTGCTGAATTCCCGTACGCTTAAGCTTTGCTGTTCACTTTCTGAATCGGAATATCTCTTGGAAATATCTAAGACTTTTGTTAGAGAGTCTTGGCTCTCCTGCAAACCTATTGATTGGTCTTTACTGAAGTCTCTGAAGGAAGTATCTTAATTTTCTCCTCTCTCAATTGAAGATGAGGTCTCTCCCTAAGACAGATGCTTTAATAGAGTAAAAAAATTATGCTACACAAGGTATTGTGACATAAAAATTTTATTTTGGAATAGAAATAGCTTCTAAAGAACTCTTTATCACTTCCTACTATGATAGTTTCCTGATTCTGTAAATTAGCAATGTTGTTATGGTGACAGCTAGAAACTTGGGAATTTGAAGTGTGTTCATGTCATTGCCTGAGCTTCTGTAGCAGTAGAGCCCCTTGGGTCAGAGGCTGAGTGAGCTATCCATTCTCCCATTAGTGGACACCAGTGAGTATCTATTCAGTGGAGACCTTATGAAGTAATAGCAAAGTATTGTCTTGAAAAAGGAGAAATAGTACCAGCATGGCACATATTGAAAATGCATACTCTCACATATTTACTTTGTCCATATGTGGTACTGCACTAGATGATTTAGATTTCTCTGATAGTTGTGGCAACTGGCTTGAAAGTTTCCAACTGAGTCTCACTGCTAAATTATAATCTCCATTTGGAAGAGAGTAAAGAATGAGAAGCGTTCAGATATGTAGACAATTATTTGTAAAACAGATAATAATATAAAGACTTAGTGGAGTGACATCTGCCAGAATTCTAAAATACGGGCCTCTGAAAATCCTCTCCTCTGTAAAATCAAGAACACTGACAAAAATTGTCAAAACCCACTTTTTCAAAATTCTGAAAATTAACGAAAGGCTTGCAACAATCTGGGCAGTGCCTATTCAAGAAAACGAGTTGAATCTTGGCAACAACAGCAAGGTTTTTGGCATTTTAACTTGTCCTAGTTCCATACTTTTCTCCCAGGCCATGATAGCTCAGAAACCACGGCAATCACGGTGAAAACCAGTGACTTGGCAACCTGTAGAGGGGACAGAGCAGGGTTTGACCACCCTTCCAAGCCCATTTACCAGATAACTGTTATTATTTGACTTTTGTAACAGTTCCTTGGAACATCTTATTCATGAGGTTTGTCATTATTTGATCTGACAGAGCTCACCAGGTCATCATCAGTGGCTGTGGTTAACTTCACAGCTGCTTCAGGCAGTGTTTTGGTTTGAATGTGTCCCTCAAAAAGCATGGGAAACCTAACCAATGTAACAATGTTGGGAGGTATGAACTAATGAGAGGTAATTAGGCCATGAAGGCAGAATAAACGGATTAATGCCATTCTCTCAGGAGTGGGTTCACTATAAAAGGGGCAGGTATTCAGCCCCCTTTCTCTCTCTTGTTCTCTAGCCCTCTTGTCCTCTTGCCCTCTCTTTGTCCTTTTGCCATGTGAGGCTTTTCACACCTGATGCTGGCACATTGATACTGGGTTTCTCAGCCTCCTTAACCATGAGACAATAAATATCTATTCATTATAAATTAACCAGTCTTGGGTATTCTGTTATGGCAGCACAAAGCAGACTTGAGACAATAATAGCTGGAAGCAAATAGCAAGCTGACTGAAAACCATAAAAGGAATAGCTGGGAAATGAGATATCCATAGGGGGCTTTGAAAAGTTCCTAACATTAATCATATTTGTATACCTAACCCTTAACTGTACCCCACAATATCATAATAAAAATATTGATTATTAAAAAAAAAAAGGAAAATTTCCTAACATATTCCTGGGACTCTAGAATGCCAAATGCATGCAGGGAGCTATGCACATGTTCAGGAAAGAGCTGAAAACACCCGAAGCTCTCAACTCTGACAGACCTTGAGTTTCTGTGTAAGAAAGAAGTAAGAGCTAAGATGGAGTTGAAAACTGCCTGCCTGAGCATTGAAAGCACACCTCAACACTCTAAGCCCCTTGGAAAAGACTGAGAAGCTTATTAATTCCAGTCATTTAAGGACATCTCTGTCCAGTCATTTGCTGACCACTAAGCTAACCAATTAGAGACTCAATGGCCACATATGACAAAGATTTCAGACTTTACAGAATTAGTTAATAAAAGTCACCAATCAGCAACAATAGCAAACTTTGAGATTATATGGAAATCTGATTTCCAGAGTTAAAACACACACACACACACACACACACACACACACACACACACACACACAAGTTTTTAACAAAAATCACAAAGCATGCAAAGAAATAAGAAAATATGGTCCAAACACAGGAAAAACATTTCAGTTTAAACTGTTCCTGGCTGGGCATAGTGGCTCATGCCTGTAGTCCCAGCACGCTGGGATTTTGAGACCAGCCTGAGCAACATAGTGAGATCTTGTGTCTATAAAAAATTGTTTAAATTAACTGGGCATGGAGGCACACACCATAGTCCCAGCTACTTGGTAGGCTGAGATAGAAGGATCGGCAGGTCCCAGGAGGTTAAGGCTGTTATGAGCCATGATCATGCTACTGCACTCCAGCATGGGCAAAATAGAAATTTTGGAGTTGGAAAACACATTAATTGAAATAAAAAATTCACTACAGGTGCTCGGTAGCAGATTTGAACTTGTAAAATCAGTGAACCTGAAGATAAATCAGTTGAGACTATTCAGTATGATGATAATCAGAAAGAAGAAAAGGAAAAAAAACGAATGAAGAAAACCGAGCAGATCCTTGGAGACATGTAGTACACAAGCAAATATACCAACATGAGTATGATATGCATCCCAGAAGGAAAAGAGCAGAGATGGGGTAGAAAAATACTTGAATAATAGCCCAAACTTTTCCAAATTTGATGAAAAACAATCTACACACACAAGAAACCCAGTGATTCTCTAAGTAGGGTCAATTCAAAGAGATCCAAAACCATATACATTTTGTTCAAAATGTCAAAAGCCAAAGACAGAGAAAGTTTTGAAAGCAGTAAGAGAGAAATAACTTATCACATAAAAGTAATCTTCAATACAATTAAAAGCAGAAAATTTCTCATAAGAAACTTTGAAGTCCAGAGGTAGCAGGTTGACATATTCAGAATTCTAAAAGAAAAAGACTTCAGGAATCCCATATTAAACAAAAAATGAAAGAGAAATGAAAACATTTTCAGGTATACAAAAACTGAGTAAATTAATTGCTAGCAAGCCTCCTTTACAAGAAATACTAAAAGAAGTCCTTAAGATGTAAATGAAAAGACACAAGAAATAAATAGTACTAATCAAGGTAACTATGTAGGCAAATATAAAAGAAAATATAACTGTATTTATTGTTTGTAACTTTTTTTTTCTGATTTACAAAACAGCTGAAAACAATTATAAACCTGTGTTGATATAATGTAAAAAACGTAATATATAATAAAACACATATAATGTAAAAAACGTCATTTGTATAACAGTAGCACAAAGAGAATGGAACTATATAGGAGCAAAGTCTTTGTAAACTATTGAGGGAAATTGGCATTAATCTAAACTTGATTGTTATAAACCAAGGTGTTTATTTAATCCCAAGGACAACCACTATTTAAAAAGTCTTTTAAAAATTATAGTAAAGGGAAGGACAAGGGAATTCAAATGGTATAGTAGAACATATCTATTTAACACAAAAGAAGGCAGTAATGGAGGAACAAACAAACAATAAGCCATATAGAAAACAAATACCAAAATGGCAGACATAATTCTTATCTTACCAGTAGTTACATTAAAAATTAATTCTAGTTGGCTGGGCTCGGTGGCTCAGCCTGTAATCCCAGCACTTTGGGAGGCCGAGGCGAGTGGATTGTCTGAGACCGTGGGTTCGAGACTCGCCCGGGCAACTTGGCGAGACCTCATCTCTACAGTAAATAAAAAATCAGCTGGGCGTGGTAGCGTGTGCCTGTGGTTCCGGCTACTCAGAAGGCTGAGGCGGAAGGATCGCCGGAGCCCAGCAGGTCGAGGATGTGGTAGCCAGGAGCGTTCCACTGCACTCCAGTCTGGGTGACAGAGTGAGACTCCAACTCAAAAATAATAATAATAATAATAATTAATTCTAGTTAAAAGACAGAGATTGGCAGAATGGATTTTACAAATCATTTAACTATATCTTGTTTACAGGAGACTCACTTCAGGTTCAAACATACAAATAGGTTGAAATTAAAGGATAGGTAAAGATATATCATGTGAACAATAATCAAAAGAAAGCTGGAGTGTCTATACCAGAATCAGGTAAAATAGACAAAAATTGTTGCTAGAGACAAAGAACATTTTATACTGACTAAAGAATCTGTCCATCACAAAGATATAATAATTGCAAACATATATGTGACCCAAAACACATGAAGCAAAAACTGACAGAATTGAAAGGAGATTTAATCAATGCTGTAATAATAATTGAGACTTCAGTACCCGCACTTTGAATAATGTATAGAACAGTTAGACAATATCAACAAATAAATAGAAGACTTGAAATAAGTAACAAAAAATTTGAGGAATTCATAAATATTTGGAAATTAAACAACATACTCCTAAATAAAAAATGGGTCAAGGAAGAAATCACAAGGAAAATTAGAAAATACTTTGAGATGTATGAACATGAAACACAAAATACCACAATTGTGGGATACAGAAGGAGAGAGAGGAGAGAG